TTTTATTAAAATACGTTTTGTTCTATCCATGTTGTGTGTAGAAATTGTTGCTGATATAGGTTTTTTTCAATCGCGTTTATTTTTATGGACGAACCCTGCAATTCGTCCTTGACGATTGAATTTAATTCAGTTTAACACATGAAAGTTACCTTGTAGAAAATCACTGTCATAAACTTTAGATCCAATTCATATTGCTGATTGAAATGGCTATTTTTTCCTAAATAAAATAGAGTATTCCGTTGAGTTCGAAAGGACTTTTTTTGGATTCAAGCAAGTATCTACTATTAATAGTCTCAAAACTCTGTACTATATAATAATAATAGTAGACTAACCATATGTCATTAAACACCAGATATATTTTTGAAATCAAATCGAATCAATCTTACCTGTGTTAATCACTGATAAAAATTAAATTAGAAGTAGTAATCAAATTCATAAGAACTCAAATGTAGAATAATATCAAAATTCATACTTCTCCTTCCAATACAGAATATGTAGCAGTCTTGGCCAGTGAACTACTTTGATATATATATTAAATTGATCATTGTCAAAGATAATTTCTTGTCAAATGATGAAATGAAATATACTATTAATATAAAAATAAAAATAAATTCGAAAAATGAAGATATATCAAAACAATATTTTCACATTTTCTTCTATTGTTATTGCAAATTTCAGCTTATGTATACCTATGTGATTCAAATTGGACTTTAAAAAAAAGTAACAAATAGATAAATCAAATTATTTATTGAATTGAAAGAACAAGATCCGTTCGTGGATGGGTACTTCAACTTCTTTTAACATAAGCTTTCACAAGTAAAACTCTGGTTAATCAATTTCAAAGCGCTAGATCGATTACTACTATCTTGGGCATATAGTTAACACTGTTTCAGTTTAGTAACACCCATGCCACTGAATACAGTTAATAGTGTATGCAGTTACATGTATCGATGAGGAATGTCATTGAACTGAATATAAATGTTCTACTTTTATTTATTAAATAAATGAAATTTTCGAAACGTTCGCATACTAAATATTTCTGATTGTTATCGATTGCGAGGTGCAGAACCTATGTAAGAAAATAGTACTATTTAATTCTGATTTTTCAGCATTAAAGATAGATTTTAATTGATTAATATATAGTTGTCTGAATTAAAACTATTCTTTAAAAATTGATTAACAACAAGTAAAATAAGATTTTTTTTTTCCATTTTCTTACGTCAAAAATCTTACTTACCAAAAGAAATGAGAGCTTGAATTGGGCAGTTCATTCCGAGTCCTAATTTCATACTTAATAAAGAATTTCTTTAAAAAATATTTCTTATTTATTAGATTTATCTTCATGTTGCTGATTCAAATGATAATGATGGAGTATTTGATATGGATATATACGAAAAAAACTTCACTGAACCTCTTGAACTTCAACAATCATTAATAGATTTTCATGCTAGTGATGCTGATGAAATTCAATATGCACAAATTCTTTATGAATTATCATCAACATTTAATGATACATTTTCACTTCATCCATATACAGGAGAATTATATTTAATATCTAATAATAATTTAAAATCAATTTATGAATTTGATATTTATGTATATGATCGTCATCGAAATTATTTTCTTAATAATAATATAAAAAC